CGTAGGGGCAGTGGATTAAGCAATTTTATCTTTGTATTAAATTCCACCAATGTCTAGGATTCGGAGTGAATTCCAGCCAAAATTCCTATTTTTAATAAACAAAATAAGGCGTGTGAAGGATTTCGCAGGATATGTCTGCAGCATGGCTGGGAAGTTAACCGGAAGGAATGACTTCGTTTTCATTGTTGCATGGGCTGCTTCATTGTAGACTGCCTGGGCAATTTGTTTTATCATTTGGTGGGTTATAAGACACATGGAGAAGTTTTCTGAAACTAGGTTTGACATTTACTTTACGCGGAATCGCCCTCGAGGAAGGGGACTGTATAACTTCGTGGGGGATATCACTTGATATGGCATTAGGTGGGTGGGCAGGTGAAAATCTAATGTTCGCCCAACAAGGCGGGCAGGAAGGTAAGCAGGTGATCAGACAGACAGGTATTTGCATGCGGGTAGGTGTAGGGAAGAGTGTGTAAGGCCTTTGCGGTTCTGATAACTCGACCATCGTAGCCAGGTGCGAGGGTGTAGCATACCCGCCTGCCTGCCAATCCCCCCAATGCCCCACACAGTCAAAATGTTAACGCGTTTTCCAGCTACTAAATCACTACTGCAACGGTGGTGGAATGAGGTGGGGCGACCCAAAAACTAGAGAATTAGGCGTGTGGAATGTTATCCTTGGTTCGCTATCCCTCAAATAAAGAGGTCCACATTGACACCATTCGAATCACCCTCTTGTTCTCCTTAAGCCTCTCCCATACCGCTTTCTTCTCCGCTTTAAGCGGCCACTCTTTTTTGTTCTTTATTTTATGAGGCGGCAATTTACTCAAAAGCGAGTTCGAATGTGGTTTGAAATTTGTGCTTAACTTGTCAGGAAATTCCCAAAAAGAGAGCAGAAATTGTCCATTCTTTACGCCATGATGGGCTTGTTCCATCGACACAACACGCGTTGGGTGAGACTTGGCGATCAGCAATAAAAAGGTTACGACTTTTTAAAGGCGCTTAAATGTAATAATGTATTCCAATTTGTCCTCCTCTTTCAAGTTGCCTTTGAAGCATTCCTGCCTTTGTGGACTTGGATGTTGAATGGGTAAAGTTTGGGGGGTGGATGAGGCGAATAAGGCGAAAGAGGAGATGTGCAGTCCCCTTCAATAAATTACATCTGAGGAATGTCAGGTTAATACATAAAGTGCGTAGGCAACTCATTGCAGTGACTAGGACTGCTTTAAGTGGGGAGAAATGTTGGCGCCCTCTTTTTTGCTAGTAAAGCTGCACATAAATTGATAGTACGAGGCTTGTTGGTATGCAAATTCAATTAATTTTAGGTGTAACTTCGGTTAAAACCACTTGCCAATCCATCATTCTCCCGAGAAATCATCAAAACTATGCACTGTGTGAGGTAGGAGGGATAAAAAACGACGAAAAAAAAGAAGAGAAAAAGAAAAAAATTGGGCAAAAGACAAATCGGAGGTGGAAGGAAATTAACAAATTACACATCGCATATTCATTTTCAGGGACAAAAAAAAGGAGAAAAAAATGAGGGCGATGTGATGGCACCCGAATGAGGTGAGGTTGTAATTTAGTGAGTAAGGGGGAAAGCACTGAGCTTTTGTGCTCACTTTTTATGCATTAAGGGGGTGGAGTGAATGAAATGTAGACCTGGGGTTAAAATTTGCCGAAATTTACGAGTACGCTTGGTGTTGAAGGGCACATGTCCTTCATACAAGGCTTTAATCGGTGTCTCGAGTTGTTTAATCGGATGTTTGTATTCAAAGAAAGGGTTGAGAGGTTGGACCTTGGATTGGCCTGAAGTCCAGTCGGAGTGGAGTGGGGCTAGATGAACACAAAAGTCGGTGCCAGTCACACCGGTAGTCGCTCACCATAGGGGACCATAAGTCGAGATTGAGGGACTAAATTGTCAAAGGAGAGACGTCGGCAAATGGCAAGACTTGCAAGATTTGCGGGATGTGAGAGTTGGTCCGCGGTGCAGCGTGGACCCAAGTTGGAGTGATGTCAAGCATGACGGCTTTGAGGGTTTGAAGGGTGTTGCCATTTATGCAAAGACCTCAATTTTAGCCAGTACAGTTGTCAACTAGACGCGATTGTGATTATTTTCCCTGTTAACGTCTCATAAATTCTCCTCAGAAATGTGTCATGGTTTTTGTCAGTCAGTTAGAAGCAGACAATCACCATTGACACACCTCCCATTCGATTACCGATTAACTGTTAAGTGTAAGGCCAATTAGTTGTTTGAAGGTTGACTTGCAGCTTGGAGAGGGGTATTCAATTCGAAGGAGATGCTAAAGGTGCCAAAGAGATCAACGGCTTCGGGACCGTTGTGGGCACCATTTATCCATTTCCTCTTCCAATATTGTCAGGCAAAGCTCACACAAGTAAGCAGTCGCTTAAGGTAACCTTCAGGAGGGCGTTGGACGGCAGTAATGGCGAGGCTATGGTGAGGTGCACGCACAAGACATTCAATGCTGAGTGCAATAATTTGCTTTATCAACTACCTCTACGAGTGGTAGCCACTTTAGTATTTAACTTACTTTTGTTTGCGTGGGCTGGTCTTCACACCAAAGCCACAGACCATCAGCCACTCCTTTCCCCTTGAATACAAGCATTCAATCCAACTTAATGTCTTCTTATTCCCAGTGGGAAGTCTCGAGACGATACCACTAAGGATTCGGCAAACGTGAGATAAATAAAAACCTTCGTCACTACAACCTTCATTGAATGCATATTCACGTCCACTCCGATGAAGATAGAGACATGCTTCAGGGTATTCCACATGAAGCGGTCATTGATAGAGGGGTGGAAGTACACCATGAAATGCTATTTAAGCTTTCAAAATGTTAGTTATGGTCATGAAGACCTTAGAATGCTTGTTCAAAATAGGATCACTCACTGCGATAGCTGTTTCCGTTGCATTGAGGATTAAATCCTGGACAATTGAATGCTAATCTCCTATCCTTTTATGGTGTTTAATTAAAGTATTTATGCAATAATAGAGAATATAAACCATAAAAAATGAGTACATACAAAATCTTAACAGATCCTTAGACAAACAAATGCGTGCTATTGTGAACAAGAACAACATTTTTTAAGGCTAATATTGTGGTAGCTTAACCGCCCACACGGCAATCCGAGGATATCCGTCCTGCGGCCGTTATGGGTCAGGAATTCTGCTGTAAACACTTGAGTTGATTAAAATGCGCCTAGTAGTTGAGACACTGGGGTTCGGTTCTGGAAGGCTTTGTTTATGTGATCACCTGACGTTTGGCAGTCTCTTTTGGATTTGTCTGAATCTTAAACCTGCGGGCCGGGATTCGGGCCGTGCTCAGCCTAGTTGCTTTGTTCCCCTCGGAATACATGTATCCAGATTCACTAACTCCCTTCTTCTACTCGGTGAGAAGTCTCGTCACGCTACAGGTTCAAAGAAAATGCTTGAATAAATTAGACGTGAGAGCTAAACACAAATAAGCCCTCTTTCCCTCCCCTCTTGATCTCTGCCCAGTGCATTGTGCACCCATGTGTCTAACAGCGCATCCAAAGAAAGATAAACTTCTGTGGAGCCAGTCAAGTTAACAACAATATTGACACGGAGATTGTTTCTCTCGCTTTACTAAGATTTTCGGTTTTTAAATAGGCGAGTTGCGGATCCACGACGCTGATACTGAAACTGTAGGCATTTTTAATGTGCTACAACCAAATCACATTTCACCAATTATTTTTTACGCTTTAGGAAAGTTGAAATTGCATAAGTTACGTCTTCATTAATAACGCTTGGGTTCCAATCGTTTAGAGCTGAAAAGATAGTTTGAGTTAGAAAAGAGCGATTTTAAAATTCATACTGGTTTGGAGTGTTTTTAATATACACTAAGAAATGGAGAGCACCACTAGCATCTGCCGACCTGGTTTAAGAGCGGTAAATCGGACAAAGTTAAGGCAACTGTAGTTTTCGGGGCTTTGGCTAAGAGCCATTCCAGGTGGCATGTTGCGAAGACCGAAAATGTTATGCGGCAAATTCGGATAATTTTGCTAGGAACGATTTAAGACGAGTGCAAAAGCTAGTGAAAAACTAGTTTTAAAAGGAATTTTGCATCACTAAAGAAAATGAATGGAGGAGAAGAAGCCAAAAATAATACGTCTTGCTAAAGCATAGAACTGTCGGGGTACCACATGGCTCCCTTTAAGCGGTAAATTTGACATAGAACACGAACGCTACTAGTCATTTTTTATTAGGTTATGGACTAAAAAAATGAAACAAATGGGAATATTAATACTCTATGAACGCAATGGCTGCCACGGAACTCTACCACGATTCGGTCAAAACTTTCGATGTGCATATGATTTCATTGTCAAAAAGTTTAGTATATCTAAAAGAATATGAAAGCTCTTTCCTGCTGCAGCTAACTCTGATGTACCTATTTGGATATTCTGTCCTTGCCACACGCCGAAATCCAAGAGGAATAGCTCAAAGTTTATTAAATATCTGTGGGGAGAAATGGGTTCATTAAGCGTTGAAATGAGGGGTTTCGTTAAATAATTCCCATCTGGGGGTGAGAACCTAATCAAGCACTTATAATTTTGGATAATATGTTACGTACTTGAAACAAAAGCAACTTTATTTTTATTGGTCGGAGCACTTTTCTGGCCATAAGTGCTGTGAATATCACTCCTGCTTTAGTTATGAGAAGTTTACAATTTTGGCTTTCAAAATCGATATTAGTAGAGGCTACAGGATTCATATAACCTTGCTTTTCTGCATCCTTTTAAGTTATACATTTAATTTCTGCCTTATTTCGTCATTCTGTTCCGCTTATACTTAGCAGCAGTAAACTACGGGTATTATGGTTTTGTGAGGTTTGGCACCATTCCCACTATTTATGAAGTTTTGTGTTTTCATATTTGACGAATCCTCAGTGCTGACATATTGCAGTTTGTTCTTATTGTTTCGTGTGCCTTGCAATATTTGCAAGATATGTTTGTCGTAAACTTGTAGAATGGGTGACGATTTTGGCGGTTCCGATCAGGGCTTTCTTCAGTCCGGTGGGGGAGTGCTATCCGACTTCGCAGAGGATGAAGATGATGACGATGACGGTGACGATGAGGATGATGACATTGACTACGATGATTCGGATGATGAAGATTGGAGCGAGCATATGGAATCCTCCAAGGTTCCCTTCATTTTACAATAAGTCATTTCTGTTTAGGGTTGGAAAGGGGTTTTGTAGTTTATTCGGATATAGTGCCTGTTCTAGTAAGTAAAAACAATTTTGAAACGAGTCAGTATGTGGTGCCGGACTAACATAATTAAGCATTTGAATTTTCTTTTACCAGTATGTGCAATGGTGCTCTATACGCCTTTTTTAGAGCAATATTGTAATATTTTTTGGGTGTATTGTTCCTATGTTTCTGAGGATTATTTGGCAGCCGTTGAGGCATTAAAATGAAGCTTTACTATTTCATCTTTGGCTTCCGATGCCACTCGTCTTATAAATGCCTTCATCTATTTGACTATGGCGCTGGGTCTCTTCAAGAATCATAGGCATGCAAGTGTGATTAGTCTGTTCTAAATTTATTCAGCGTTTCCGTGAGGATAATCGTGGCCGTGTCCAAACTAGGGGTCTTCCGCACAAGCCTTCCAATTCTAGCCTTAATTGGCGTCCCCGCAAAAGCGCTAACGGTGGAAGAAACTCTCGTAGACCTCATAAGCTCACGTCGCATCAATCTCTGAATAGTTTCTCGGAGCATGGCGGGGGTGGTGTTGGCGTCAATGGGAACGAAAACGGTATCTCGGCTCTCCGCCGCCAGGCATTGCTGCGTCGTGGGGATGCCGATGGGGGAAGGGCGGCGTTAGAATCAAAGTCTGAGCCTCCGCGCCAGTGTCTTGGCCCCGGCTGTACTCGACCTGCTGCCCATTCTGCCACCAAGTATTGCTCAAAACAGTGTGGTCTTATCCTGGCGCTCAAGTCAGTCCATTTTCACATCCTTTTTCTTTTATATGTTGTAGTTACTAGCGTTTCGCGTTTTTTTCATGCAACTTTTAAACACCTTAGCTTTCCTTATCAAAATGCCTTTGTAAACCAGCGTGATTATTACAGTCTTGTAATGGTCATGGTTGAGTTTTTTTATTCCTAGCAATTATGAGCTCCATGTTTGTGATTGAGTTTTGCTTTGTGTTGCGTCGCATTTCACCCAGAAATTTGTTGCTAGTGCACTTTCGTTTGAAAACAATTGCGAATTTTTAATGCCTTTGGTGAGTGGGGATGTTGTGAAAGCGACACATTCTATAACATCTCATGGAATCGTTCATCTCTGAACGTAAGTCGGAATGCGTGTAAGGTTAACAAATATTGGAAACCTTGAGGCTTTTCCTGCATTGGGCATTGCTTTGGCTCATAAAATGTGCCTTGAAATTTTACCTATGCTTAGGGCAGAGTTGTCCAAGTTTATTTGTAACAGGGTGCATTACTCGGTGGGGCGTTTTCACATAGCCGCTCACACATTATCACACACTGCTCTCGTTGGACACCTTTATTTACAAAAAGGTGTGTTGGCTAGGCAACATGGGTACGCGGCCCTCCAGGCCCTGGTTTTAACAAGTGGTAACGCCGCGAGAGTGGGTCTAACACCTTCCCTTGCAGAGGGCCGTGAAGCCATGATTATTCTGTGGTCGTTACTGTCATGCGTTCGAACCCCCTATTGCATGGACGGTTATTGTCATTCGGGATTGAAGCTTATAAAATACAATTGATGGTTGTATTCTCTGGTTTGGATTGAATTTGAATAACTCCATAACCCAGTGGGGAAGCTGCTTGTGTTTGCTGAGATGTCGTTGGATTGATGGGAGATGCTTCCGATGTAAATTATGGAGCGTATAATCTTAATTTCTATTACCTATGGTGAATAAATCATTACCTTTTGGTGTAGTGTTGACATTTACTAACCCATGAGAACTTAGTAAGGTTTTAGAACAACTGTCCTTGGGAGATTTTATCTGGTTTGGAAATGCTCATATCTTGACCGCAGCTCACTTATTGAGAGGTTCCACATTTTTAAAGTGGGTGGCAACAAAACCTTTTGAATTTAATGCGCTTCTGTTTTTTTTTTCAAAAGAACCTCCTCATATGTAAATATTATCGCGTTTTCAGCCCTCAAAATGCCTCCTCTTAAAAAGCATGAGTTGGAGCATTAATTTGTGCTTTCCCTGCCGTCGACTTTTATTAGCCGTGACATTTCCTCGCATTTGTTTTTTTTCTTCTGTTGAAATTGGGCGTGCCTCGTGCATACAATCGCAGCCTAGGGCTTTAAAAGTAGAATTGCAAAAGCTGTCAATAAAGGTGGTTATTTGCACAATGGATGACCAAATTCCCCAAAATTTTTTATTCAATTAATCACCATTAAGCTTCCTGCCTTCGTTACCTTAATAAAGTCCACCATATTTTCCGACCATTTTGCCTTGTGTCGCTATGGTGAGTGAGTTGTTTCCACATTTGGTGTGCCAGCGACTGTTTATTTGCCTCCAATTCATCGCCAAGGGGTGTGGGGATCTAGCACCTCCCCTTTCTTGGACTCTTGAAGCCCATATTTGAGCTAATGCCTTAAATTAGTAAATCAACCCTTTCCTTCCCCAAGTTCTGGTTCTCTCGACTCAGGCTCTTTTGTGGTCATTTTAACATTAAATAAGTCGACCAACAAGCCTTCGCAATGACAAATAACTGTGCCTATATCCTCTCTTTCCCACAAAATAAATTTTACATTTGTTGTGTATATCTGCGGTGGTCTCTAATTGCCTATGTGCTTGTTTTTTCCACGAAACGTCACGTTCCGCCCATAATTGGTTTATTGCTAAATGCTAGTTCTTTTTTACCTCCTTGTCTCATTCCCTTTTCCCTCTTTCTCCCACTGGGTTGGCATTTTTAAACAACTGGTTCGCCAAAGGCTGCTATTTTCTGCTCTCCCCCTTCTGCTATGGTCGTATTTGCTCAAGGACGGAATCCGGAGCACTGTCAGTCATAATTTTGATAACGTAGCAATACACTCCTATGAGAGGATCAAGACTGTCTTTACTTTGCCATAGTGGTACGAGGTGAGGTGTCATCAGGAGCCACAATGGTTGAATAGGTTGCCAGTTTAGTTAGGGAGGGCATCGAGACCAAGGCGGTTGGCTGGTCGTCTTCTAAAAAATGGTGAGTACAGTTATCATTACTTGGCTGAGTTGGAAGAGCCAAACGCACTCCCATGGCAATCACGGTCTCCTAGAGTAAATTGTGGGTGTGTGTGTTTTCGAAATATTGCAGAATGAATGTCCGTTGGATGCTTTGGTTGTCACTTGGTTTCCAAAGTTGTCCTTTTTTTCCTTCAACACAGGTGAGAGTTCTTGCATTTGTTATACCGTTCGTCGGTAAGGCATGTGACTGGCTCTACTTTGCCTATTGCCGACTACGATGTCCTCTTCCCAGCTGATTTGGGTGTACACGAGTTTTTGTCACCTAAACGTGGCCAAAGATTGGTCTAAACATTCATCCCACGCAGCTCCATCCAGTAGCATCACCTAATCCTTCCCTTGTAGGTCAAGACTAGTAGATCTACGTGAATTTGTGGCTAGGCGATCAACAAAACCATTTAGTACTTGAGTAAACAGTCTCAATCCTCATTCCACAATTTAATAACTCTCAGGTATGTGAGCTAGCGTGTGCGTGTGTGTGTGTGCAAGCCTTGGCAACTTCAATCAACCAGTGCGTTTCTCGCACGTGCCACCTAAACAAAAGGATGTAGTACGATGACCTCCATCATAACTGTGGCTCCTTATGCACCCACTTATTGGTGCCACACCTTGTTCATTTTTTGGTTTTCCTTTCTCCATAACGCGCCAAGGTTGTTGGGATTGATTGTTCAGGGAGTGTTTGGTCACTCTCTCGAAGGCATTTAACTTCATTTCTTTTAATTTGCCACACCTAAATCTGGTGATGCTTCTATTTCTCCACAGGTCATATCATCTGGGTGGATGTTTATTCACTCCTTGAAAGACAAGCACATAAACACACACACACGCCGACCTGTATGTGTATACGCTTTGTGTGGTGGGTTTTAGATGTGATGATCATGCCAGCTAATGCAATACTAGGTAGAAGGGAGTATCAAACTTAATTTGTGAGATATTTTGCTTACATAATGCTTCAGCACCCTCATTTCCCTTCTCTATGCGTTAGGACTTGTTTAAACTGCGATTTAGTTGATTTAAAACAAAGAGTACTTTTGAACGGCATGTCTACAACCACGCAAATTACTACCACACCTATAATTAGGCTTGACGGAATGACACCTTTTTCACTCTTTCATTAGGCATGTAGGCTACTAGCAAAAGTTGGTTCTTGCCTTAAACCTTGTCAAGTTGGAAGTGGTACAGCCTGTAGAGAGGAAAAGACTTTTGATGGGATTTATGCCTTTGGATTAATCACCCCTTTCACTTTCTAATTGTACTTCTCTAGACGCTTGGAACGGTTTTTGCCTGGAGCTCGAGCTGCCTGGTACTCCGATGCCTCAGGCGTTGTTCTCAACTCCTTTGCTGATCGTGCGGATCGAGCACGATTGAAGGAGGTGCGTGCCGAACAAATGGCCATTCATAATCGCCTGATTGAGCTGGAGAATCGACATCAGCAACTCAACCAACTCATTGCACGAGCACAGGAGTATAAAAACCGTCTCACACCCGCTCAAATTGTACGCACGCTTAAATCTCTCAGTAATTTGCGAATTTTGTCATCTCCTTCACTTAGCCTGAGAAATTTCGTTGCGTTTGCGATTTTTTTTTAGAATGCTCTATTGTGTTTTTTTGTTCATTCACACCCTTAGAGAGTCTTTATTGAAACACTGTGACTGTGACATCTGTAAAACCATGCTTGACTGGTCAACCAGTTGGTGCTGGTTTTGACAGCTTTTGTCACTTACTTCACCTGTAGGGATTGAGCCTTCTAAACTTTCGGCTCTTGCAGTTGTGCTGTCGTTACCTCACTCACCATGAAACATATGCGAACAACTTTGTTAGTAGTATCTACTCTTTCCGTCAACATTGAAGTTGCTGCCTCTATGAGGAATTCCACTACAATGGAGTATGAAGTGGATTAGTTGATATTTTTAATGCTTGCCAAAGAAGTGTAAATGTGTGTGATTGACAACTAAGTTTTTCTCCCTCCTCATTCTCAGAACCACTGCTTTTCTCCCGCCATTTGGTGAAGGTTTTTTTATCCTCTCTGTTTCATCCGATGGCAAGATTGGCGATGAATGAGGTGTATGATGAAATTTGACAACGGAGCAGCCATGAGGCCTCTTGTGACCTTTTAATGCCAAGCTTAACTGACGCCTACTTGACAAAACGTCGGGTACACACTAGTCCTACGCAAATTAACAATTTCAACCAATTTTATCTCTCGTTGAGTAGCAATTGCATGTCTAAGTTGGCACATTTTTTGGATTCCAGTCTGGAATGGAGGGGTGTTGTTTGGATTATCACGTGATGTTGGTATTTGTAGGCGGCCTTTGATTTAACAGAGTGATGCATCTTCTGTAGGCTGCTTCAACCACTGCCGATTTGGCAGACATTGATCAAGCCGAGCCGGTTGTCTGTGTTACCTGCTCTACGGAGGTAAACATGCGTCATGCTCTTAGACACATGGAGAAGTGCTTCCAGAAGGTTCGTTTTACTTACTCTTCTATTTTACTCATTGGTAAGTTCACCTCTTCCTCTCATCACCTCCATCAAATCCAATTACAGGTTTTGTCTCATGTTTGTCGTTTTTAATTAGGTTAGGATGGAGAGTTCGATGGGTTACCAACATGCCCGTTAAGTAGGTCTTTTCCAGCCTCTCTTCTGTTCTTGGCTCACTGTTGCCAGTGTTGGTCCTGATGCAGTTCATGACATTTGAATGTGGTGACTATAACATGGTAACCGGCTGGAAAATCGCTCTCTGGTGAAGATGGTTTACCATATCTAGGGCATCCAAACGACAGCCTCTAAGTCCTGTCACACTCAGTTTAGCCAAGTATTGTGTGGAGGATGAAGTATGTGAAGCAATGACCTGGATGGAAGGCTTAAAAGGACGGGTTAACAAAAACTCGCACCTACTCAGAACCATAGGGACAAAAAAAGACGAGGGAGGCAAGTATCCATTGTCCAAAGGTCGTTCATTGTTGGCTTTTTTTCTTCATCTTTGCATTGTTTTTGAGCTGTACGGTAATTCAATCATTTGGCACAGACCAAGCCCATAGGCATTACTACCAACCGCTACGGGCTAGCGAGACATCGCCACTGTCAAATCGTTACACTGCCACCGTAACTTATTGGTTTTTTTTTAGTTTTTTTTTAATTCTTCATTAATTCAACAAATATTCGACAGAACTTACTTGTGTTTAAAAGTGGGTGCATTAAAAGGCGTGTGTGTGCCTGCACAGTTGTGGGATTAATTTCGTAATCTGCTGAGGATTTGGGCGCTTGTTGTCCTTCCAGCTCTCTCTTTCCCCCTCTTTCTCTCCCTCTCCCTATCACATTTGCCTTCAGATGAATGAAGTCATTTTTAATCTGTGTCTCTCAATTCTCCTCCCTATTCCTTGAATCGAACAGTGGAAGAGGAAGAAGAGTGATAATGTTTTTACTCTCCTGATCTTCGCTTCTACCATTCTGACACCACCACAGAGAGGTTATCACATTGGTCACTGTTCCATTTAAATGTCACACAAACTTTTTATCCTATTTGGATGAGTTTGTTTGTAGTCGGTGTTTAATAACACATTTGCCTTTCCCAAAGAAATTCACTGAAGATGTCTATTGTACTTTAATAAGGCCAAAGGGAACTTCATATGCGTAGAATTGCCTGCAAAACTGTAATTTTCAAATTTCCATGAACTCGATGTAGTCCTAGGCGGCAGAACTTTCTCATCGAGTCGGGAATGAGGCTTTGTCAGTAGGAAATCATGCTGCAGTTGAGGAACGGTTTTGCTGGATGTGGTCTGTTGGATGCACTGATACGGAGGTGTTTGCTTTACTCTGAGCTCGAAAACTTAGACGCCTTGAACCCTGCCAGATCGCTTGTGTAAAAATATAGCCTTTATCTCCACAAAGCAGTAATACCTATTTGTGTGTTCATTAGATGGAAAGTGCGTCGTTACTTTGCTCTAACCAACGCGAACAGTCACGTGGGACACCGCTCTTCTGCGATGCCTACGATTCACATGCAAAGGCCTACTGCAAGCGTCTACGTGCCGTCTGTGAGCACGTTAAGGAACCCAAGTATCCTCCGGATGCTATTTGCGGTTTCCCTTTGGTGGAGGACGTCTTCACCCCAACCGACCGTTTTTGTTGCACTACCCGACAAAAATGCACCCACCATGTGGGTTGGGAAAGGAAGAAACGAGGTCACATCGATGTGGAGCGCTACCGACAGGTGAGACATAATCCTTTTTGTCGACATCTCTTCCCACTACTTAGCTGTCGTTTCATAGTGGATGTCAAGATATTGATGAATTGATAATGATCTAGTCTATTAACAATTTGCCAACATCTAACTCACTTTACTTGCATTTGTGCCGATACGCATTGGTTCAGATTGGCCTGGTGCTTTGCTCATCTCGGGTGACGCTCACGAGCGCTGGCGGCGACTGACTGACCGAATGACACTCAAGTAATCACCTGATGGCATTTTGACGATTTCAGCTGATCCGTTTGGACGAACTCCTACAGGAGGAAGCCCGACTGCAACGATCTCTCTCTCAGCGCGCCGGAATCCTCGGCATGATACTTAATCGCACAGTTGACGAAGAGGAGAGGCGACAAAGGCAGGAGACGAAGTGTTTTGTTAAATAACAGCCCCTTAATTACTTGTTAACTTGTTACTTGTACATACACCCTTTGACAAAAATGTGATTACTTCGCAATTTACTTGACATCTCTTCGATTCGTATAGTGTGAGAGCCCAGAATCACAGTAAACCATGCATAGAAACAGGATGAAGACAAAGTACTGACACAAAATGGATTTTAACTAAACACGAAATGACATTAAACTATATGGCATCTATGTCCAAGTCATCGTCACTCTCCGTCGCAAGTTCACCGACTTTCTGGTGCTTTGGATTGTGCGAGATTTCAGCAGAAATGGGCGATTTCACCGGAGCCTCATTTTCGTCAAAATCTTCCACGTCATCCTCATCAGACTCCGTGTCGGCTTCTCTTAGCCATGTCAGCATGGGTGAGCACACGTCGGCAATCTTACCAGCTAAGTTCTTCGAAACATACCGCTTTGCCGACTAGAACCACAGTTAAGTATGAAGGAGGCACTTACATTCTTTTCGAACCATGATAGGATAACCTCCTCCTCCACAATATCGTCATCGTAGAGTGCTTTGAGAATATGACATGCTTTTGGGAGCAACTCATCGGAGTTCTTTTCAATCAAGCTTGCCATGGCTCCCAACACGTAGCCCTGAGTCTTGTGTTGCTGATCGCCAAAGCGAGTAAACTGTAAGAAGACTGGTTTATAACGTTTGATATCAGTCACAATAGTTTTGGGATCCGAGAGGAGGACTTCAGCGACAATCAACACTGATCTACTGCCCAGATTTAAACGCTGCGACTCGCTCTTCAGCTCCTGCCCACGTTTTTCCACGTCACCAGCCTGTTTGTATTGAGTGAGAAGTTTGAAGAACATATTAGCTCTTTCCGTCTCCGTTTTGTCAATGTCGGCATTTATTGTAAGGCTGCGCGCCATCTCAGATAATTCGGCAAGACGCCTCTTCTGAGCTTCTTCAGTCGTATCTTCACCCCAATCGACATCTTCGTCTTCCGATAGGCTCTGACTATTCCGACCCTCGTCCCCAGCAGGTGAATGATCATCATCTTCAGGCTGTTGATCCTTACTGTTTTTCACCTTCTTTACCTTTCGTCCTCTTTTCTCCGTCGGAGCCGACTCATCCCCGGGTGGGTTCTTAATTATAAATTGCGTTAGACGATGTCTAGGATCAAGCTGCCCCCGATTTCCACAGGCAGTGCAGATCGTGTTAACTACACCAGCTTTGACTTTCACCTGGAGGGTGGTCTCTGGATTTCCACAATTCGAGCACAAAACAAACTTGTTAATGAATCCAAAAAGCAACTCCTGAAGCCGAGCTGTATCATGAGCACCGTTAACTATATATCTGTCATTCTTATCATCAACATGTATCTGGGCACCCAGCTCGCAGCCAAAGTACTTGGTGACATCTAAACACCATTATGAAGAGCAAGAACTTACATATTGGTTTCCGATAAAGACGTTTGGCTATTTCTGTCACATTCACTATCACCGTTTTGATCCCATTACCTTTTCCTTCGACCTTAGCCGAGAGTTGAGGCATTTTGTACCGATAAAAAGCGTCGGACACGTTCTGATTGATATTGAGCTCCATGTTTTATGAGAAAAGCTATCATCAGCCTCAGAATTGTTGCAAGCTTCAACCATGTAACGGTGAGCTGAAGTTATGTAAAAAAAAACAATCAAATAGGATAAAGATGACTGGAACAGCACGCCACACAGGAAAGACCGGCGCACGAAATGCCCGAGGTGAGCAACCGTGAAATACGGCTTGAACAAACAAAGGCCAAACTTGATAAACAAATTTTGTGCATCATAAGACAAACTTAGATTATCCTTTATGAAGCAAGATAAACTTAAGTTAAATTAAGGTTTTTTTGCTGCAAAAAAAGTTGTCATAGTCGTATGTGAACGTAAGCTAATATTTACGCATCACAGGAGGGCCTCACAACATTGGTGCAACTGCAGACCTAATAAATATAAAGTACGCATAGTTTGATCGAGAATCTACCTCAGGAAATCCAATTTGTGATGTCAATAGTTACTGTAGCGTCCCGAGGCGCCAAATGGGGTAGTAGAAGCATAAGTGAGGTTGAATACATGTATTCCAAAAACAATGGGAGAAATGGGGGCCTGAGCGTGGCTTGAAGGCCAGCCCACGTGCACTGGGCCTAGACAAGTTCTAAAGTGACCACCGAACGTCAGATAGTCGCATAAACAAAGCATTACACTGCCCCTCTCTTCTGAGCGACGTCCTCGGCGCTCTCCTTTGGTACACCTCCTGCTCCAGTCACCACAATATATTCGGTACTACAAGAAAGCATCCACGAGCCATGCGCTCCAGTCGACAGAAAACGCGAGAGCAAGGAATCGTACCTCATCTTCTCGGCAGCTTCAACTGGGTCTGGAGTTTCGTTCGGTCTGATAACCAGATTCGGGGACCCCTACACTGCCGACCATCAATTGCTTCCAGAAATACACGGTGGAACTCTGATCTACAACAGATATGTTGCAGGGATAAGGGGACGGGTTAATGTCCCGCATGCGAGGAGATCCGTTGTGTCATTTCCGACACATAAACACGGGTTCTGTATGGAAAATTCCCACACGAAACTTTTCCAGATATTTCACGGTGGTGTCGATTCAGTTGTTAATAGATAGAGTTAGACTTCATTCTACGCATGTATAGCTCATGATTGCCAGAATGCGCTTCCTAATCTTGGATTTCTCCCCTAAAACGCAAAATTCGTTTGCAGTCTCGTCTACTGGTTTCGACTTTCCGGCCGAGGGGACCCGAGTTTTTGGTATCTGCAAGTATTGAAACAGTGCATCATCCCATCGAACCGTTGCTCGTCGGTTTGTTCGTGCTGTTCTTTTCCGAAAATCAGTTGGCTAATTGGCAAAGTTTAGTAAGGCAAACGTAGGATGTCAGTAAGACAGTGATGTCTGTTGGGCAACACATTTTCCCACACACAATGTCGCTTTCAAAAGCACCTTATACCTAAAAGTCGTTAATGAGATGTCGGGTTCGATTTCCGCTGCCACCAGTGTAGCGTCCCGAGGCTCCAAATGGGGTAGTAGAAGGCATAAGTGAGGTTGAATACATGTATTCCAAAAAACAATAGGAGAAATGGGGCCTGAGCGTGGCCCGAAGGTCAGCCCACGTGTACTGGCCTAGACAATTTCTAAAGTGACCGCAAGATGTCAGATAGTCACATAAACAAATCATTACAGTTACTTCAATGAGGTGTTTAAAGAAAGGTTATAAGTTTATGGCACATCTATTCTTACTGATTGGACCTACCTTACAATGCCATAAGGGTTAGCGTTTAGTAATTCCTATTAACGAGTAAATGAAGTGTCTCGAGACTTCCCACCTGGTAGACACATAAGAAAGTGGAGGTGAATACCTGTATTCCATGCTGAGTAGAGCTCCAATTTGCACGCATACGACACTACGTGGCCGATTCCCGAAACACTGCATTATCTACCTGGACGACATCCTCGTGTTCGTGTTCGCATATGCCAGCTCACGTCTCAGCAAAAAGATGAAGCAGAAGAGTGCGACGGAACGGGAACTTTTCGCCACTTATACAATGGTGAGACATTTTAAGCACTACTTGATAGGAGGACAGTTCGTTGTGAGGACAGACCATCAAGCACTGACATGGTTGAAGACAATGAAGGAGATCCATCGCTCGGTTGCAAGGTGGTACGAGGAGCTCCAACAATATGATTTTATAGTGCAGTATAGAAGGGGAAGATCTCGCGGTAATGCGGACGCCCTGACACCGAGACCCTCATCACCGTCCATGGATGGGCGACAGTAGGTGCGCTGTTACTGAGCGAGCCTACTTCCCATCAATGGACAACCACGCTCATCTTCGACCCCGATACAGCTTTCATCTATGAAAGACTAAGACGTCCTCAGTCAAGTCCACAGTTGAAGAGATGAGTTTGGAGAGCAAGAAAGCCAAGCAAATGTTGGCAGAATTGGAATAAAGTCTCCCTAGAGCACGACGTCATGTGGTACAAAGACGATGATGAGACAGGTACTAAGCGCCTTGTAGTACCCCTTTTCTTGGTGCAGACATCACTGTTGGAATTGCATGAACAACTTGACTGTGTGGAGGACAGGAAAGGACTCGATGCCGCAAGGAAGAGGTACTGGTGGCCTTCGATGACGTCGGACGTCTCTGATTTTTGCCGCGCATGCGTTACGTGTACCAACATGAAGAACTCAACTCGCACGGCGGTAGCCCCTCTGCAGACGATGCCCACTTGTTTTCCAGGGGAGGGAGTAGGCACAGACATCATAGGTCCTCTTCCCACCACTTCGAGAGGAAACCGTTATATAAATTTGGTGATGGTAGACCACTTCACCGAGGTCGCGGAAGCCGAGCCACTACAGGTGCAGGATGCCGAGACAGTGGCGACCGCATTTTTCAACCGTTGGAACTGCCAACATGACGTGCCTCATCCCGTACACAGCGACCAAGGGGCGGCATTCGAAAGCCGTCCCTTCAAAGAACTGTGTAAAGCCTTTGAAATCCGTAGGACGCATACGACGCCGACCCACCTTCAGGGCAATCAGCAAGTCGAGCAAACAAATCGTACACTTGTCGATTTATTGAAGGCCTTTACCAAAGAGCTACAACCCGAGGATTGGCATCTATACCGAGGACGGGCCCTCCACGCCTACGAGCCTCTGCTTACACCTCGACTGGGGTCCACCATTCAAGAGGCTCATGGACCGTGAAATGAGTGTCTCTTCCTTCAGAAATATGTTTGACGCCGAGCGCAGACAACCGCAGAGAGCATACGATAGACAGAGTCGAAAAAGCGTTTTCGAATAGGGCGATTTGATGCAATTGTATAGACCAATTTCTCCGCCACGAAATTCTATCACCTCTGAAGCAAGGAGCCCTGCTGCATGATCAATGTTCTGTCGCCCACGC